ACGCAACTCAACGTGTATCTGCTGATCAGTCGACATCACACTCCCAAGGTAGCTGAAGCGGGAGGTGGTTTCCAATACTTCAGCACCAATGCTGATTTGCGGCAGTATTGAAGATTGCACCTCCGGTGAAGGCTGAGACAGACAGACAGTTTTGCTTGTGTTGATGGTGAGCCCGAATTTGGCCGCTGTCGAAGCCAGAGCACTAGTCATGTGCTGCAACTCATCCGCGCTGTGTGAAAACAACGCACATACGGATAGTTGTCTCACAGACTAGAGTTCTCGCACCGAAACGACGGATGTTCAGCAACCCACCATCAATACGGTGCTCCACACGAACACCGTAAGCACAAGCCGCATCAAAAGCACAAGACAACATTGCATGAAGATAGATATTAAACAGGACAGGAGCTAAGACACAGCCTTGCTTCACACCAGAGACAACTGTAAAGTCATCAGAGGTCTCTCCACTCAGCTGCACCCTCGCTCGCATACCACTGTGCAGACATTCAATTAAACTTACAAACTTACGCGGGCAACCAAACTTACCCAACACCAGCCACAGTGCCTTCGCGGTTCGCCGTATCAAATGCCTTGGTGAAATCAACAAAAAGCGAGTACAAAGGCTGGTGTCGTTCTCTGCACTTCTCTTGCAACTGACGAGCCGCAAACACCATATCTATAGTGCTGCGACCCGAACGGAATCCACATTGCTCTTCCGCCACGATTGGTTCCACAATCTGACTCACGAGGCGATTGAGCAGGATTCGGGCAATCACCTTACCCACACAACTCAGCAAGTTGATGCCACGATAATTCGTGCAACATTGCTTGCTCCCTTTGCCCTTGTACAGTGGTAGCACAAGGGCATCCTTCAGCTCAGCAGGCACTTCCTCATCAATCCACAAGCGTTGCACCAAGTGGTGCAGCGCAGTCAACAACGTGGGTCCACCGTGTTTCAATACTTCAGGCGGGATCTCGTCGGCTCCGGCACATTTGCCGTTTCGCAGCTGAGCAAGTGCTCTCTGCGTCTCATCCAGTCTCGGCGTATCCGCCAGATCCGCCTTCACATTGTGCTGCTTCAGGCCGTTCAATGTAGGCCAGTCGATCTCTGAACGGTTGTTCAAGAGACAATCAAAGTGTTTTCGCCAGATCTGCATTATGTCTGCAGTCGGTGTGCAGGTAGCGCCTGAACTACCATCGATTAGCGTCCTCAGCAGCGCCAATCTCGGTCCATACACCGCCTTCAACGAGTCAAAGAATTCCTTGTGTTGACGGCGTTCGGCGTAGCATTCCATCTGCTTCGCCTTCTCCGTCCATCATGCATTTTTAATGCGACGGAGCTCTCGGGTCAGTCGCCGTCGAAGTTTGCGAAACTGACTACTCTTCCCCAAGTCACTGGGGTCTGCAACATGTGCAGCAAATGATGCATACTTCTCCGACACCAATGCGTCAATCGTCACATTGTTGTCATCAAACCAATCAGGCCGCTTACAGTTTGCGCGCCCAATGGTCTTCAAGGCAGCAGCTGTCATCTGGTCGCGAATGTGGTTCCACAGGTCGCCCACTGTGGCTATGCAGTCCACATCACACAGGCGTGCAGCCATCACCTTCTCCAGCTCAGTACGTTTCGCCACAGTGCCGAGGGAGAGAATGTTAAATTTACGCCGATGCACGGCGGGAGTGCAATACATCGATTTACGAAAATATATGTACAGTTTGGTCCTCACCAATTTGTGATCAGTGCCACACTCAGCTCCACGCAGTACACGTGTCATGCGCACTTCACGCATATCACGCTGACGTACGATGACATAGTCGAGCAGGTGAGCGTGACCACTCCGTGGGTGCGTCCAAGTTGCTATATCACTCGCACTCAGTGCAAACCGAGTGTTCGTGATCGTCAGGCCGTGAGTGGCACACAGTGAGAGCAGCCTGTCACCGTTCGCATTCGCTGAACCAATGCCATGCGCACCGATAACATCTGCCCACGCTGATGCATCACGCCCAACGCGCGCGTTGAAATCACCCAGCAGAAATAGTCGGTCGCTCCTCGGCAAAGACCGTATCACGGAGGATAGCTCAGTGTAGAACTGATCACGCGTGTCATCAGGATAACACATGGTCGGACCGTACGTGCTTATAAAAGTAGCAAACTTGCCTCTTCCGAGTCGCAGGCGAACAGTCATCAGTCGCGCGCTGATGCCCGTTGGTTCACCCACCAGCTGGCCATTCAGGCGGTCGGATATTGCAAATCCGACCCCATGTTCACGTGGTGCTGAGGCGGCGTTCCCCACCCAGTAGAATGTGTAGCCAGCACCTGCTTCATGTAACTTACCTTGCTCAGCGAGCCGAGTTTCACTGAGCGCCGCAATATCGATGTGGTAGCGCGCCAGCTCCATCGCGACCAGTGCAGTGCGTCGCTCCGGGCGCTCGCTCGAGTTCCGGTCCAGTAGTGTGCGCACGTTCCAGCACCCGATGCTGAGTGCTTTGCGCGCAGGCATACGATTGCATTGGTGGGCAATCGCACGCGAGGTGGTCGTTGTCCTTCGGAGGTTTGTTTGAGGGACTCCACCCGGAGCCTTTGGCTCAATAGCCTGACCCACAAGGCAGTGGGTGGTTTGGAGGTTTGCTTGAGGGACTCCACCCGGAGCCTTTGGCTCAATAGCCTGACCCACAAGGCAGTGGGTGGTTTGGAGGTTTGCTTGAGGGACTCCGCCCGGAGCCTTTGGCTCAATAGCCTGACCCACAAGGCAGTGGAGAGCAGATCCAGCTCGAGAATGTGATTGCAGAGACAGATTGGGATCTGCTTGACGGCCGTCACACGCAGCCTTTGAGGTTCTGGAACAGTTATCATATGTTTTGCGACCGTAATTGGATACGCACCTGCGACCACGGCCAGACGCAGGTGGGTTTGTGGCGGGTTTGCACCAATTTGACCAGGGGCTGCCTGGCTTGAGGCGGGCAGTAGCAAACCATTGAACACCAGGAGGTGTCCTGCCATCGTCAGAGACAATGCATGGCACTCGTGCTCTACGCCAATCGAGCATTGAGAATATAACCCGTAAACCTGTTGTTTCCCATGACTAGGTTTTACGGGAAGTGGGCCATCGACCACTTCCTAACCTCCGGAGAGGATGGACTAGGATACTGCCAGGGCGCCCAATCCTGACAGGAGAACGACTCGGGTCCTCAGCCAAAGCCTTCGATTAAATGAACACCCGAAAGGCAGCGGGTCTAGCACATGGTCAGTTAGCTGACTCATGCGGATTGGTGTCCTGGATCTTAGCAGGGAGAAGGGCGAAACCTAACTCCCACCCAGCGGTCGCCACGTGGAGGCGCCCAGGACATGAGACTATGGCGCAACAGTAGCAGCAGTGGGTAGACCATCTGTCAGGATCTAGCTACCACCAGCCTCAGCGCACCATAGGCTCTCCCGCCGGAAACCAACATAGTCTGGTCAATATCTACACTGTACCAGTTTGATTCCGATGGGCTACACGCGTGCACCGGTGAAAACCCTGTTTACTTGTGCCAGGCGGATTTGCTCGGACGATCGTCTGGTTGAGGAGATAGAGTCAATAACCAGAACGTTCATGGAAAAAGGTTTCCCTAAATGCCTCATCGAGAAGAATAACCAGGTCAGATAACCAAAGGAAACGATGTTGACAGGACCTAAGAAAATATGTATACTCAGAGCTCCCATTTAAGGGTAGAGCTGACACAACGAGGATGACCAAGCGCTTAGTCTCTGCTACTCAGAGAAGCTACTGCGCCGCAGATGCTGTGGTGAGCAACAGAACCCGGAAACTGTCGCTATCTTCAGTAAAGGGAGAGAAACCCATTGGCGCTAAATGACACTCTTTACAAGTTGTAACTGCGGAGTCAGTTACATAAGCAGGACCGACAGAGTTTTGAATTCCAGAATGAATGAGCACCTGCCAAACTGGCTTTAGCGTGAGGTGAATCAACGAGAGGTTAGCCAGTCCTCGTCCAATATTCTGTGTGCACGCCAGCCATCAGCGTCATCAAAAGGCAGACATATTTTGTGACCGGTCATCGGATTGACTACGGCTTCGCGTTTTGGATATTATCACGTCACCCTAATCCACGCTTCTTGCGGTTCGCCGCGGTCGTGGCGATAGGCTAAGACCTGCACTGTGTGTGCAGAAGCAATCAGTTGTTGACCTTCGGTTGCCTTGGTTCTAGGACCATCGCCGCCGTTCACCACACTGTATTTGATTAATTTGGTAACACCCTTCGAACAGTATAAAAAATAATTTCGTGTTATTGTGTTGGTACTGTTGAGACAATGCGAAATGTGCGCACCTACTAGTGTTCGTCTTCTCAGTGTTATCCAAAGGGTAGTAAGTTTAGAAATTCCTTTATAGTGGAAGTTCGGCAGCGCCCTATAAGTGCTGTTCATATGGATGAAAAAAGCTGCGCACATGCGACAGCAGACGACAACAACTAGAATTGGGGGGGCAGGTGCAGTCAATCAACCATGATGTATTGAGCGAGTAAATGCATACTTTCGAGAGACTCCAGTTGTGTCACATACCTTTAACAAACGGGGATCGAAAGTAAACAGAAAAGTACTTTCAAGTTCCTGAAAAACATAACGAACAAGAACGACACCATGCGCATGAGGTCAGTTGTGTGCCGTGTGAAATTTTTAGAAATTAGTGTCGAGAACAGTGACGGAAAACCTAGGTATTCACTAGCTGATCTCTGGAGAGAGACTCTAGGAAATGGTAGTCACTCAATACAGAACAAGGCGCAATCGCACACTGTGCCAGCCATATGCAAATGTGACATTATCTATGAATTGGTAGTGGGGCAAAGAAACAGCATAGAATAGTACGAAGTAACGAGTAGAATAGACTAAACCTGGTTGATTAGCTAATGAGGCTTAAGAACAGTTCGCATGCAAGGCTCAAAGGCAGCCTGACTCTATTGAACGTGACCGCGCTGATAAAGACGCAAGTGAAAACGAATGAAATGGAGCATGAGTGATGTATTTGCTGCACACGAAGGATCATCGTCTGGAGAAAGAAGTCCACTGGAATGAAGTATATAAGATGCTGTCGCCGTTCACCGAAGGATTCTCATCTTCAAACACATGGGCGCACGTTGCAAGTACTAGAGTCTTCCGAATGCTATTTGAGACTCGGAGCATGGCCGCGAGTTGAAACGCACGTATGGGCTCATCAGCGTCGTAAGTGCAAATGACATGACTCGCGTGATACAACAGGGGGTCACCTGTGGAAGAACACGAACGACGAATTTTATTACAAGTAGTAATCACCGATAAAAGGTCGATATAAAAGAGTATACAAGTATGATGAAGAGGTAAAATAGACCGTTTGTACGGCGTAGATGTACACTAGGAAAATAAGTGATGATGGGTACAAGAGTAAATATTGCTGCAATTACCATTCCCTGCGGAACCAGTAAAGCACTGGTAGGTTGGACAACTAGGTACCTTCAGTAAAACTTGAATTCGGATTCGCTATCAGTTTTATTTTTACGTGCTTTTGTCATTTGTCATTCGACAGTGGAATCATCGACGTGGCAGTAGAGTGGACACTCAGGTAGCGTTTGACATTTGACACTTTTTTCGATCTTCATCAAGCCTAGTTACGCTCGAGCAGCGCTGCCTTCGCAGCACAGTTCTTGTCTTGTGGGAACACCGCATCAGCAAACAGCAAATTCGGCATCGCGTACTTGCTGCAGGAAGAGCGAGTGAATCGCACAGCATGGCTATTTCACGCAACGGGCTCCGATGGCTGGGCCACGTGTTGCGCATGTCAGCAAACCGACTCCCGCGACGCCCGTTGTTCGCGCCCGACGTCTAGGTGGAAGAATAAAAGGGGAAGCCAGGCGCTGACTAGGTCTAGAGGGAGGAAATCCCTCACTTTGAACTCGGGGTCGGTTGGTGTTTTCCGACTGCGTGGATGGGTTCCAAGGACGATGAACACGTCCGCTTGAATACACTAGAGGATATGGCGAGGAGCCGACATCAATGGCATTTGCGTTGTGAATCTCTTCGTCCCTCCTCTCCAATTTAGCTTCTTCCTCCAGCAACGATCACAGCCCAATGCATAATGTGGTTTTAACATCATGTTACTGTTTTAGCTATTTTAGTCTGTAACGTTTAATCGCTTATCATTTTTGTACTGCGGCACATTAGTTGGGGTGTATTTCTCACACTCGGCTAACTGTATTGATGATTAGCCTAATTGCAAGCCACAAACAATTTCTGAGCACTGTCGGCCTGGCACATTGATGGTTCGAATTATTCTAAGTTGTATAACGCCTACTCACATCAAATGTCCTGTTTTGCGCTAACTGGCTGCAAAGGGTGTTTTCGACAAAGCCTTAAACGGTATTCGCTGAAATTTGCTCCATTGGCCAGTTCCTAAAATCGTGAAACAAAGATTTTTATGTACTAAACCGGGTGCGCCATGCGTTCGCACAATGGCACCCCTCACAAATCCATAATACTTTTGTATGCACATTTTTCGTCGTTATTCCAAAGTCCACCAATCAATTCCTCCTCACGGCTTCAATTCGTTACGAGGTTTCGATGCTTTGTTGAAGAAAACATCTTAGAATAAATGGAAGCCAGCGTTGTGGCCAATGGACAACATCCTATTTTCATTAACAGCTTGCGTCTGAGGAGTAACAAAAAGGCAGGAAGGATTGTGTAACCGTTAATGACTGCAGACTTCCGCTTTGCTCTGGTGGCTTCACTGATGTTCGTGATAATGTAGTATTTTGCTGGCCCTATTGACCGCAAGGAGTAGTTGTTATGCCTTCCGATCGCAGCCCTATTCTAATGCTAACATGCCCATTTTCCGTTCTTTATGTGCACCGATTGGTTCCTTATTTATTCCGTCTCTATTGGCTCTATCTATCCGCAAGCATTCCACAGCCTGATTGACCTACGCGTTTTGCGGCATCGGCGAGATGGCGTCCTTCACTGCCCTGCCTCATAATAAGCAATTACCCCCAGATAACTCAGCATCAAACACATTATAAACACGCAGTCTGACTAGGAAACGACAGCAAATGAACCACTGTTGTTGGCTGCGAGCTATGTCCAGTAAAGTCTCGATCCAAGCATAATGAGAATCATGTCGACCCCTGTCCGGAAGGCGAGACGAACCGACGGCAAAGAGCTGGGTCGTCAGTGACTTCCTTTCCCGCTACCAAGTCAACCTCTGATCACCAAGAGCCTTGTGCCAAGCTAAACCAAACGAACAAAACGAGGCCATCTACGAAAAGCGATGAACAAATATACGTAGTACGCTCTAAAGCCAACGCAACTTATTCAGTGCTATCTGTTGTTCTAACGAACTAGCTTGGTTATCACTGCCTAGTACACGACTACGCACATCACCCTTGCGGACACGCTGGTGCCAACCGACATCATCAATGCCCCGCAGACAAGGATGATCAAAAAGTTGCAGGTGCCTCAGATTTTCAGACGCAAGGGACCAAGTCTCACTCCCACAGAGTAGGACGGCTCTCACTATAACCTTGTAAACACGGACTTTCAGATAGAGGGAAACAAGTTCATGTCACCAAAGATGTAGAAGATTCTAAAAACAAGTACTGGATTTTGCAATACGTGAAACGAATTCAGTCGCTATGCGCCCATTGTTGCTAATGCAGCAGCCAAGGAAAGTGAATCGGTCAACCACTTCGAGTTCCTTGCCATCTAAGGACAAAAGGTCATAAAGTGGCTGGTAGTCTGCAGAAACTTTGAATTCTGAAGGTGCAAAACGCATACCAAATACTGGAACCACAGTAGAGAGAGGATTGATTGCGCCGCTACAACACCATCAAGAAGCAAGACGATATCGTCCGCATACTCAAGATCAACTAGCCTTTTACCAGGCAGGACCTCGACATCTGTTCCCTGAGATTCCGGAAAAAAACTCCATGATGGAGTCCACGACAACATGGAACAAAAGCGGGGAAATCGGACAGCCGTGATGAATGCCAATTGTTGTCCGAAAGCCATTCGATAGGTCACCGTAGACCCTGAGGCGGTCAGTAGTGTTCGAGTACAGTGCACGCAAAATGCTCACATATTTCGTGGGAACAACTTGCCGCGCAGGTAGTTAGAAGAGAATGCATCGGTAAACTGAATCGAAGGCAGCCTTGAAGTCGAGGAATACAGCTATTGTCGGTTTGCGATTTGCGTGGCGCTGCTCTAGCACCTGCCGCAACAACGTGCTGGGCGGAAACCGGCCTGTTCTTCCCTAAATCGAGATTTCCGTTCCACCGTGAGGCGACCAACGAGAATCGAGGCCAGTAACTTTGTCACAATTGGCGTTAGGCTAATATGCCTGTGGTTAACAGTCCGTGCGACCACCCTTCTTGTATATGGCCACAATAATCGATTCACTCCAGTTAGCCCGGACGGTCTCCTCCATCCAGATACGTACGATTAGGGAGCTCAGGGCTTTACATAGGACATCACATCCATCCATAAATAGTGCAGGCGGGAGGGAATCCGGGCCAGCGGCACGAAAACGATTGAGGGCTATGATCGCGTTTCGAACCTAGGCCTTCGATGGAGGCTCTAAACTAACTGTCCATGGCTTGTCCTGCATCATTTGAGTAGGAAGATGTCCGGGAACAGGGGGCCAACTGCACTGATCTTGAAAGTGTTCCGCCCAACAAGTCATCAGGCGCTCTTTATTGTGTATCAGTGCACACGCGCTATTGCTGACGTCTGGTTTCCTGGGACCAGTGGCGCGGATCAGTTGGAAGAGTTGCGGCAATTGCCTGCTGCTTCTGCTTCATCCATTTCTTGAGCCCGAGTGGTCCATCACGTTTTCTTGTCAGCATGCAGGTTCCACTTTAGTTCGCGCCTAATAATCCATATGGTCGCACTGTGCACAGAGCCAGCCGGGAGTTTTCTTTTGAATTCCAACAGGTTCACCGACCTTTCGGATATCCTACAACAACAACAACAACAACAACAACAACAACTACTACTACTACTACTACTACTACTACTACTACTACCTGCTACCACCACCACCACCAATAGCTGTATTTCCGCCTGACTTCATGGCATGGCGCAGTGCGATTACGTTGACTCACTGAGTTCTATTGTTGTTGTCAGTTTAAATGTGTCCAGCAACACATCCAACGGCATATTAGAAGTGAGAGATGTGTTCCATCCGCGGTTAGCGCAACTGATTAACGTGCCGAACGAAAAACGGTACAACAAAGTGCCTTACCTTTTTCTTACCACTCTGTTCCCACGATTGGTGCTTCGGTCTTGTGTTAATGGCGTACACCGGCTGCCCTAGAAGTAAACGTTTGCTCACGCCTGATGCGAGTAGCCGTTGCGTAACCTTACGGCATACTGCATCTATGGGAAGACATATCTCACGCCCGAACATGGCTTCCGCTGGGGATTTGCCGACTAGTGCAGCGGGCTTAGGCGTAGCCCGATAACTTAACAGGAACAGCTGTATGATCTCATCAGTCATTCCTTACCTGTGAAGTTGTGGTAGTGGACGTCTGAAGGTGTCCACGATTCTTTCTACTTGCTCAGTGGACTGGGGATGCCCCGGAGCCGACCGGCAGTGCTTGATGCTATTACGCTGACAGAAAACACCAAATTCATGGGAGATAAATTGCGAATCGCTAACGGAAACCAAGGTGTTTGACAAACTGCATTGCGCAAATAACTGTTGTAGTGATCGTACTGTGACCGCCTTCGTGGTCATGTTCATCAAGTATACATCGGGCCACTTGGTGCAAGCATCAACCACAACTAAAGAAACACTGGCCTTGCACTAGACCAACGTAATCAAATTGATTTTTCTCCCAAAGCTGGGAGGATGACAACCAGGAATGGATGATTACGCTGAGTTGTCTCGCTGAGGAGACACAATTGATACATGCGGCGAAACAATCATGGATAGCGTTGTCAATAAAAGGCTAGTATATGTAACGTATGGCTAGAGCTTTCATGCGTGATGTAGGTGCAAATATCTTAATACCCTAGCCTACAGGGACCTCGGGACAATCACGCGTTCACCGAACATAGGGCGATCGTTAACCAGTGTCAAGGAGTCACGTCGAAAACAAAATTGGCGGTATTTCAGTAATAAAGTTTGGCCACTTTATTAAAAAAAAGAATGACGTTTTGTAGGAGGGTCGAGCTTAGTATGCTCACGAATGTCCACAGGAGTAATCGGAAGAGCTCAGATTGAGTCACATAAAAGCTG